ATGATAGGAATTCAACAATGATTGCTACATTGCATATGATCTTCAAATTAGTTGTTCAGATTAGCAGATATAAGCCTGAAAAATTGGCAAACAAATTTTTTAATTAAAAAGAAAAAATAAGCATTAACTTTTCCTTTCAATGGATCAGTAGAAATCAGCAATACAATTTTTTCATGCTTTTTAATACTTTATTTATTTGTACTGCATCCTGGTGATTTACTTAAAGTATGTTTTTGTCAGTAAACGTCAAACTCCTCCCTTACATTGTAAGTTTTTGGGCTTTATGTAGTTTGCTAATTTTAAGAAGGTCTTATGCTTGCATTTCAAATCTTTCTGCCCTAATTTCATGATTCCTTGATGTTTCATTATGATTCCTATTTCTCTTTAATTGCTTCTATTATTTTAGCTATACTTATTTAATAGTCTTTTTCAAGTGGTTTCATTAGTTCAAGCTTGGGGAGTGTTGATCCTCTTGCTGTTTCATGCCTATTTGCTCTTGTTCCGTGAATCATCTCTCTATTCTTCAGTGTTTGACCAGGAAGCCACTGGTACTATGATCCCCTCGTAGAAACTGTGCATGGTCAGTGTTGGGAAATTGCTCCGCAGAGCAGTCTTGCATTTGTGTTTGCTCAGCATCTTGAGAACATCACTCAGCCCTTTGGTGTTTGACTTGATGTTTATTTGTTGGCTTGGAAGACCCTCACTTGTTTGTAAGGGATGTAGGAAGTGGTGGTGGTTTTATGATGAGCAGTCGATGAAAGACCCATTCTGCAAAGGCTCATCTTTACTCTACTAAAGGACTAAGCAATGAATGAACTAGCCAGGGATGTGCTAAGGGAACAATTGATTCCAGTTTGCTAGAATACCAGGCTTTAAAAAAAAATGGGTGTATAGACAAAATCCAAAAGAAGCTTTGGAATGACAGCGGGCCTTCCTTTAGAGGCTGTGAAACCTATAGTGGACAGAGTCAGCTAGAATGAAAGTCCAATCAAGACAGACAGGATGTATAATAGCCAAATGTCTGCAAGGTACTTGGCCTGGAAGCCTTTTTTCTAACTTTTTGCTTATCTCTAGTGCACTAGTGATTTCTCCAAAATGCACTATGTTCTTGGATCTATTTGGTCTGTTTCAGGGCTGAGTGCTGCTCCAAGTAAACAGAGGATGAAGCCAGATCTGAGCCCAGGGTTCCCGTCCTGCATCTTCTCCCCTTGTTCTTGACCAGGAGCTTGAGACCAGCTCCGGAAGAGGCAGGAGCTGACCTTTCCTGACACTTGAAGGCTGAGCTAATGAAATCATCAAGGGAGCCTGGGGCA